CAATTTTTTTATAATCTGTTTCTCATTTTTCTGTATTTATTGTTGCGTTCTTCTCTTGTGCCGTGTTTGTAATTGGCCGTCTGGTTGTTTATGCAGAACACTAAAACTAAACAACAACTGAATCATCATCGACTTCATTGCCAACGTCATAAATTTCTTATTACTATTTCATTGTCGTATTTTCTACTTCTTCCCCTTTTTTCCTTTCTTCTTATTCTGCCTCCTATCATGTGGGTTCAGGACGCTTTTTCATAGGAGGTAAAGTGGACGGAGCGTGAAACTGTCCACCTTCCTCCGTGTAAAGCTGAAGTTAAGAATGAATGGATCTATAACACCAATCATTCACACGTCTTTATGTCCTGGCGTGCTGCTTAATAAGTGCCAGGAGCAGCTTTCTTTGCTTTACCATTCAAGTTTCTCCTGTATCCCTTCTTGTTCTTGAAATCTTTCTTATTCTTATTATAAACGTTTCCCTTCTTGTCCTCTTTTTCTTCGACTTCTATTTCTTCGAATTAACATGTTTTCGTTTTCGTTTCTTTTAGTTTTGTCTTATTTTCTACTTTCTCTTTCTTCTTCCATAATGTCTTTCTCAACTACCATTTTTTGGTGTTTGATTTCGTCTGCTTTTTAGTATTTTATATTTCTTGTGCTTATTTTTATAATTTGCCTTATTTTGCCTGTTTTATCCTCTTTGATTTATCCAGCAATCTTCATTTTATCCTTCTGTCTTCATCGTCAGCATGTGCCTTATTTATACTTTCTCTTTATTTTTCTTCGGTTCCTGTATCTATCAAATCTTCTTAACAGTGGTCGCTTATTATTGACACTCTCGTCTCAGATTTGTATGTGACCTACATTATTTTGCTGATAGGCCTAATCTATATGCCTATGAGCCTGCTTATTGTCCAGAGTCACTGGGTACAGAGCAGCCCTCAGTATCCTGATGTGCGTTTGTTTCTCACGCAAGGTGAAAGCTGTGCCGAAGTTTACACAAGTTCTTTGCTACTTCAAACCATCATTGGCATGTATATACAAATCTGATGTTTGCAGAGGTAAGCAGTAGTAGATATATTACACTGTATAGCGTAATAAATAGTGCTATCTGAAAAGCAAACATTTGACATCAACGGCGGTATGATGCATCTCCAGGTCATCTGCCCCTCATGGTCTCATCACCGTAATAATATTAGGTGTCGAGTGGAAATTGTAAAGCTCCGTCTGATGACCAAATATTCTTCCGAGTACAATGTTTTCATGCATACAAGTACAGTACCTGGGCCAGACCGTGGGTTTCGTCTGCGTTGTTTTGGGTTAGGTTAGGTTTAGTTAGGTTAAGTTATAGTGTGTTGTTAGGTTATGTTGTGTTAGGTTAGGTTAGTTAAAGTTGTGGTTTTAAAATTGGTTCAGTAGTATCTTGAAGAATTCATACCGTTTTGATCTGATGGACGTTTGGGTATCCTGTAAAATTACTGGAGAGGTGCTGGAGAAATTCTGGAGAAGTCCTGAAGATATCCTAGAGAAGTCATAGGTTTTTTAGAAGTCTTTGAGAAGAGTTTGAGAAATCCTGGAGAAGTGCTGGAGAGCTTCTGGAGAAAATCTGGAGAATTCCTAATTATGTGTTGGAAAGTTATGCAGAGGCTCTTTAGACGTCCTTGAGCCGTTTTGGAGAAATCCTTGAGGAGTGCTGGAGAAATACTGGAGAATGGCTGGAGAAGTCCTTGAAATGATTTGTGGTAGTCCTTAATCGTTCATGGGTTTGATCGAGTGCGGTTCTGTTATTAGTTTCGTTTATGTTGCAATGGTTCAGGTCAGATTAGTCAGTAGCTTGGGAGTGGATGGAAAACAAATGCATGTATGCCTACTATGTAAACCAGAGAGATTACCTACATAGAAACTGAAACAGGCAGCTACAAATTGCTGTCGCTGAAAAATGATATTTGTAGAGTGGACAATGTATATGCTTTCTTATGTGCATCCTTCCCAACCCCTATGGTTCCATTGCGTTTGAATTGTAACGGACGTCCAACTCACGGATTCGCCCAACCTAATTTTTGTTGTTCTATTTTGAGGGGTCGTGACCAAGTGTCATACCCACACAGAGCAAAGGGGAAGGTTATCATTTAAAAATTGCTATCTTTAGGTTCTTAAATTATTACTTACAAAACCAATACCAGTATGCTCCTGTATTTTTAACCGTATTCTCTGAGCCATTCGGAAAATTTGAGTGAATCTTTACCATCAGATGGTTTAGTAATGAAATATACTGTTGTCTTTGTCGTTAATTTAATTATAAAAGTGGTAATTTCCATATCCATGACTCAGTGTATTAATAACCTTAGTTTTTCAGCTACTGACCTTGAGAGGTCGCAAGCAGCAGTGGTTGTACTGTATTTAAATTCCACCGATAATTATAAACAAAAGCCGGATGTGCACAATGTGATGTGTAGGGTGACAACATGGATCATCAGCATGTAACATACAACTTTTATCTTTAACCACAGGTGTCATTCAAACGAAGTACAAGAATATTGACAATAATACCTTCATATCTTCTTAGTTGCAGAGGTCGTCTTTTTTTTCGGACTGTGGAACCTTTGTCCTGTGCAAAGGAAGCGAGGGGACTTATCAGTGAACTCGGCACCAACATTGACACGAGCCACTGCACAAAATCAAATGAAACTTATTCTTAGGACATTCAAACAACACTGCTTCAACGTAAAAGGTTCATCGAAAATTACGATTATTAAAATCCTTTGTTGTTCTAGCATTCGTTTGGAGATGAATAATTTAAATAAGAATAGTCCATAAAATTATTTCCTTCGTCATGATAACCGCACGTACCATGTGAAATTTTAATATGACAATACAAAATTATAATAGCCAGTACGGATTTAAATATATTTGTTTTTAGATACATCTAAATGGTGGGATCTGGTATTCCACACTGAGTGAAGAAAATACATTAGGTCTATATAAGATATCAGAACGTGGGAGAAAATGACACATTAACGACATTAATAATTTGTACTCTTTAACAATTTCTAAAGTACTGCCGCTATTAAATCAAGAAAGATAATATTGGCAAACATACAGCACGCAGGAGGACCACTATACTTATAAAATAATGGTTGGTTATGGTAAAATTGGATTTGATCGTCATGTAACAGATTTAACTGTACCGATAAGGACCGAATAATTACTGTCCGTATTTCAAATATAAAATGTAAACAGAAGTCACATGCGAACGGATAGACAGACTTAGGAACAGTGAAAGATGATTTGTCGTGAGGTTGAAATATGTGAAGTCGAAGGTCGATAGAAAGTGCAATAACACGCGGAAGTTGTGGTGAGTCTATAATTACATTCTGTCCAGAGGGTCTCCATTTCACCTACTAGTGACTGAAGTCAGTAATTTGATTCAATTGCTCCATCCACAGAGACTCACTCAAATATAAAGGTATAATTCGCGTGGTCGCCATTTGAAATATAATATACAAAAATTACATATAATTCGAAATTCTGTCAGAGTTACACCACAGTGCCACCCTGTTCGTTTAATTGATTATAGGAAATTAATAAAGGTTCACTTCAGTTGGTATACACACTCGTTATTTTGTGATTTTACGTATCTCATAGGCTTTTATAACCATTTTAAAGCATCTGTTTTCAGGAAATTAACCAACAGTAAAAATAAATAAATGAATCAATCAGCTATTTAAGCTGAGCTTCCTGTACAGAAGACTGTGTCCGTCTGACACAAAGTTTCTGTAGACTACAATCTAAGATTTTTATCTCTAAATCTCTGAGATTGTTCGCTACTCGAGATGAGAAGTTCTGTGACGTAATCACTGTTCAGCTCGGAATTTCTAGAATTAAAAGACTAAACCGAAAATTATTACTCTCGAAAATACTAGGCCCCATGACGACCTGACATCTGGGATTTGTCGAGCCATGGGTCGTAGTTACTTACGTAAGTTACCCGAAACAGCAAATTAAAATCGAAGTAAAGCCAGGGTAAGTCTCGAGAATGTCAGCAAACCTCCATGTAAGGGCTTATATTGCTAGACAATTCTGTAGACTTTCGGTTTTCACTGCGGTGAGAACGATGTTGCTCTTCTGGGTTTTGGCGCCGTTTAGACTCGTCGTTAGATTCCATCGAGTCTACACGGCGCCCAAACCCAGAAGAACATTATCATTCTATAAGAGTTTGAATTATGGTATCTAGAAACATTAAAAATACGAATACTGTATTCTGTTAAGTGTTCGTATAGAACAACAACTTTGCTTTGCGTGCTCGTCTAACACCTGGCAGCCTGTCATGCGACAAGATGGTTCTTGCTGTCGCTGTAAACTTGTTTCAGAAGTATGTGTGGCGCAAAAATGTGTGAAGAGTCCTTGAGAAGTGGCAGTCGCTGGGGTAGTCTAGAAATGTTCTGCCTTTTATGGAACTCGCAGACTTATCGTGTCCATAAGAGCCGGTTTACTGGAACCATATCCTGAAAGAGCTGAATCCAGTTCACATCTCCACATTCACATCCCTAATATAAATTTTAAAACTATCCTACCATCAACTTCATGATTTCCCAAAAGGTCTCTCACCTTCACTTTTCATGGCGAAAATTTTAAACACCAATGAAAAATGAGATTAAAATTCTGTCACCCCATGACCGGAAATGTTTCCTATCTGAAGAGCTATAGAAAGGTGGATTTCAAACTGAATTCTATCAATCATTTGCCCAACTTTTTCTGTCCTTGTTTTCATCACGTGAGTATTCTTTTATTGTCGTTCCCAAGAAATTTTATATTCTAATGCTATTAACTTGGGTTATCTGTTTTCGTAGCAGACTGCTGAATTAAACGAGAAAAGAGTTTAGCATTTTGTTACTTGATGAGATGTCTCGGTATTTACAATGCCTTTGTGTGACTGGACCTGTAATCGACCTCCCTCATGGAACAAGTGCATTACTTCTGATTCAGATCGTTTTGGGTTTATGTTGCAGGACAGCGAGGAGTTTCTCTCTTTGGGTTCAGCTATTTCGGGACGAGCGGGAAAAGGTAAAAAAAAAGCCTTCTTGGTTGATTTAATTAATTATTGATCTTAGTTTTGTCTGTGTGGTGTGTGACATGGGCTGTACGGCGTAGAATCATTATAATAATGACGATGATTGGTTATAAAGCCTTTGAAAATTACATTTACTTTTTCTTTTACAAATTACATGTTGTCTCCGCTTTTACGGAAAAATTTAGAACCGTGACGAAATGTGGTCGTGTTCGTAGCGACTGCCTAGAGTGTCTTTTGTTTCAGACAAAAGGACACCAGTATCGGATTTTATCATTCACATCACCGTAACGGTTTGAAAATGGCTCCAGTAATGTCATAAATGGATGGGGCTAGAGGATTGAGTGCAGAATACGAAATAATACTCGTGTGTTTCAGAAGTGAACATTTTATCTGACGGACCTTAAAGAATCACAATAGAAAAACTTGGTTTATTTTTACACCAATCTGTTGATTGGATGTTTTAAAAGCAATTAGGTTATTAGGCCAAAGTCTGATAATAACAAATGGAGAAAACAATTGATAATAACAAATGATATAAGCACTTGAGAAGAATAAAAATAAATCATGATCAAGTCATATCGGAAATCAGACCGACTCGCCAACTTTGTTTTAATTTTCTCTCCAGTACCCGTCACGTGCAGAAGATATATAATAAAAACAAATTTAAAGTCGTAAATTGGATCTCCGTAAACTGAAGTATCGTAAACAGGTGAAAATAGATAAAGGATTTAATTTTGTTTTAGATTTTCAGTCATATAGTATGGAGCCTCAGTTTCTGTAATCTCTAGAAGTCGCGGTTAGAAACTGAAACGCCTTGGTGACTCTACACATTTGTCGCTTTGCTGGAGGTTGAAATATTCAATTCAGTATTTAAGCTTTAGTAATCCATTGAAACCAGATAGAGGAGTGAGAGACTATTTATGTAGTCCTGATAAGAAAAGAATAATAGTGAAGATGTTAGGGTGATAAGTAGTGAGAGCCTGATACTATCGACAACGAGGGAATTTTGATTTGCTTGCTGTTGAGTGTTGAAATTATAATTTGGAAGAGTAAGTAAGTAATTTAGGGGTCTTCACAGCAAGGGAGGACATGTATCGCAGATCCTTCCGATTGAGAACTGTCTACTAGCCAGCAGTCCGGCAAACAGAAGAATATGGTAGCCCCTAGGTTTCACTAAATTGAGTTCCAGTAGCTTTTATGAGTGGAAAGCTCTTAAATAATCTGACTGTTTAAACTATAAATGTTACCACAAAAATATCCATCGTTTCTAGCCAGTGGTCTGTCAAGTACGAAATTTGAATGGGTCAGCAGTGAAAATTTCTGGTATTCTGTCCTCGGCAACTCTCAACAAAAGATAAGTACAGTGGGGGTTCGACAAAATGATAAAAGAAATCTCTCACCATCTTCTGTTATCAGCAGCTGTATTTATGATAAGTATTTGTATAGATGGCTGTTGAGATAACTTGTTTATGACAACAAAATTAGATCGTGTGACAGGCAGGTGAGGTATGATTATGTTTACACCGTCTTGATTAATTGTATTTCTGAAGATAAGAAGTTATTATTATCATCATACGAGTGTCTCATAAGTCCGGGGTCATAGGAGAACTCGGTTGTTTGAGAAAATACAGAAAAAATATAAAGAGGAAAAAGTTGTTGAAAATTTTTCCAGTATCAAATGTTAGAAATTTTTGCCTAGGGAAAGCCGTAAATGAGCTACACTCTTTGCATTGTCAACATTAAAATTACGGAGATTGCCACGTGACATGGCAGGGAAAAAAAGTTTTCAGAGTTTCTGTCTCCTTCGTTGCAGCGTCACCCAATTCTGGGAGCAAAAAGGCATGGTGGACGTACCACGGCGCGCAACGTACTCTTTTGGTACGAACAGCTGTCTAATTTTATTAAAATAGCACGGAAGCAGTGAAAGGGCACTAGAGAAAACACTCATTTGCCCTTCGATTTCCACGGCTCGGTGAAAGAACAAAAGTTGTCGCTTTTATAAAACGGAGAAGGGTGGAAAGTGAAGTAGGAAGCCGGTCATTGTTACATACGCATTTCAGCCAAAAGAAAGACACGTACAACAAAGGCTACAATTATTTCTTTGTGTCCCCTGCCTTTCCTTTCATAAAAAAGATTTTCGCCCGACGTGGGGCTCGAACCCACGACCCTGAGATTAAGAGTCTCATGCTCTACCGACTGAGCTAGCCAGGCACTCGTCTGTCGTGTTTTTCAATTGGCTGAGTCATGCACACTGTGTTTAGTAGCCGAATGCTTCTGCTATCCTAGTAAGGCATTGACAATGGGGTTTAAAGTGAGTACCTGCAACGCAGAAGCCCAGGTGGACAAGTCATGTTGTGCGCGTGCGTAACCTCGCTTATTTCATAGTTGGAGAACTTTGGTCTTTACCACAAAGGTATGTCTTGCACGTGATTGTTGCTTTCCGCTACTTTGCTGTTCGTAATAACATTATTTATTTATTTTTATTTAATAATAGTTCTAGTGTTATAACATATTACCCATAAAGTTTGCATCAAATCAGAACAAGCACGACATTTATCGTTAGTGCAGCACGTGACTTTTAGGGCCGCATACGTCACAGGAGGTATTTTCTTAAACCTGTCGAACTGCATTAGCACCTTGTGAGTCCTTCATTCGTATCTCTGCTACGAATAAACAGCTTTCCTAGCACATATCCGTTCATTGTTAAATGAAAATAGCTTTGCAATGGACAGTTATTATAATCGAACATTGTAGGTTTGCAGGTACACTTTCGTTTATATGAAATTTTCGGGGATTCGGTGTATTTTCTAATAGTGACACAAAGAGTCACATTAACTTCACATGATTTATCTACTCCAATAGCCGTCACGGCTGTGGTTAAATAACTATAACCGTTGCCATGGTAACGCTGATAAGGGATTCTCGGTCTTACGGTTTACATTTCTGGCCATAAAACCATACCTGTTACATCTGGCTAAGAGCTGTCATGGCCTACAGCATTTCTTCCTCCATTGTGCACAGGTATCGATGATTATTGCCACAAGTGAAGTCTGTTAGTTTGGCGAAGAAGACAGTAGAATTACTAAGAATGGCGAGTAGATAAGAATGTGTCATAGGACTATCGTGGCCCATTTCACCGATCTATTGCTGGAAAGATTTAAGAAAATCACAAAAACCTCAGGCAGGATAGATCCTGGCCGAAAAATTGTCCTAAGTTCGAGTCCCCGCGAAGATGGTTCTTGTAGCTCGGAAATTAAATATGACAGAAGAATGGCGTTAAGAACGTAGTCATTTGTTTCACCGGGATGTTACAAGATCAACGGAAACAACCACGAAAATCTGTCCTGGGTTCGAGTGTTGGTGAAGTTCCCAGTAGCTCGGAGGCTAAGCAGGATACAAGGATAGCTCGAAGCATTTCTCGATTTTCCCTGCAGTAACACAGCACACTGCTGATTGATGAAATAATATTCCGTCATACTGGTTCAGAGAACATGACCTTGAAATTCTAATGCGCAATTTAAAAAGTAGCCCACGCGAACACAGATGTCAGTATCTGATTAACTGTTTAACCGAAGTTTGAGTGTAGTCTCAGTACACACGAGAATTCGAATTTATGAAGCTCGGATTAAGGAACTGACGATATAACAACAAATCAAAACGGAAGGCAAACTTCTTTTTTTATGACTAAAATCAGACACTGATCCCATTTTAGTTCATATTTTAAGGATTTCGTACATTCGTCCATCTGTCCCCTAATTCAGCACTAAACATCAGGATTTTTGGCGATAATGTTCGGTTCTCGTGAAACGAAATTTCAGACTTGTGCACGTTCCTATTTTGGTATATTATCATAAGCAATACCAAGGTTCTGACCGCACAAACTTAACGAACTGGACACAACAGTAGTGGCAGTGGAATAAGATATTTTTTTAAACTTGTGTGGTGATAAAGAATTTCGAAAAGCATTTGAAATGAACAAGCCTTTCTTTGGGGAAATCCTCCATCTAATCTAAATGTGTTAAATGTAATGAATCATTGCATCTTAAGAATGTGAGGGGTGGCAGATTGAAGGTCGCTGCTTCTAGTTAGGCCACTAAGTGCCTACTTTTTATCACAAGGAAAAAAAATACATCGTAGAGAAGAGCGCTGTTAATAAATATAGCCTACTAACGCAAGAAAAGTATTCCCTATGTAACGTCATCCTTGGCAATAAATGAGTTACGCCATTTGTTTACCCGTTCTAACCTCACTTTACCTGAAGCCTCTTTCAAGGTCATTCTGTGTTCTGAAACGTAGCAATTCTAGTCTGGGAAGTCTGTTTTCTTTTATTGTCAACACTTTGAATTTATTTTCTTTTATATAGCAGATTCCGGTTAATTCGGCCATCGGTTAATAGGGACAGCCGTTTATTTGGGACAAATCTTAAAGAACAAATCTTTTTAACCCTTTACGTGGAACTTCGCATAATTGGGGCATCGCTTAATTGGGCCAATGTGTTCTAGTCGCGATGTGTCCCAATTAATCGGAATCCACTGTATTTCAAAACTGAGTCTAATGAAAGTTCTGTTATTCTTTTAATGTATTATACAGTAAACCATCCATGTGTACTTTACTTACAGGTATTTATTACTTCTTCAATCTAAAGTGTACAATTCTTTAGAACTTCAGTGCAAACCGCCAAATGAGGTGTTCCTCGATGGCTTTGTAAAACAAAACAGCTGCCTGCCAGCTAAATACCTTTGATTCATGCGACAACTAACTTTTCCATGTAGGTCTATTCGGTTTTCAATAAGTGTTTGATAAAATAGTGTGCTGTTTTAGAGAAAACTTCTGTCCGTTAAGAAAATTACGTACTCGGTGCAATTTGACAGATGAGCAAATGATATACTGTGTGATTAAATGAACCAAACGTACATCCAGTCCGCCTGAATTGATGTTGTAAGGAGACATCTCAAATATATGAAGCGATATTTTGTTACCAGATTATGAAGTCCGAGACGTGGCAATGTAGACTAACGGCTGGATCTTCTGTACAGGAAATTCCACTACGAAATATTGCTTTCCCTTAATTTTAGTTTGTACATTTTGATTTTAATAAGACCTGAAGGAAACAAACCACTTGGAAGGCGTAAGATATAAATAGGAAAATAATTTTAAAATTAATCTTGTGTAGGATTGAAGGGTGTGGAGTGGAGTGAATTTATTTGGCCCAGGATCACTGATGGCCTCTTATGAACACGCTAATAAACCTTTTGGTTCCAGAAAATTCAAAGAACTTCTTGATTAGTTCATCTTCTCAAGAATGACTGTATTCCATGAAGTTGTTCTCGTGTAAGTGAAATAACGACAGTGTGAAATGAAAAATTTAGAATAAGTCTCAATGGTCGGTTTCCTATTGTTCTAGGAGGATAAGGTAATGTGAAAGAGTCCTGCTTCCTTTGACCAGAGACGCGATAACTTTGTACTGGCCTGCGTGTTAACAAGTCACCTCCTCTTGACAGAGAACTAATGCAGCCTTTTATTGATGAAATGCTTGTCATTATTCAAACGAAAACTTTGGGCGTCTCATCTTTCTTCTAAAACGCTAAAGATTAAGATATGTAAGACTATCATTTTATATCAGTTGTTTTGTGTCGGTGTAAAAGAGATATCTAAATCTAAGATAATATAAATTACAATTGTTTTAAAAAGAAATGTTGAGGAAAATACTTGAACTTGATAAGAACAGAGTAGACTAATTAGGGAATGATATTATTAAATAATGAGGAACTTTGTTGTTTATTAGTCCTACAGTGGGTTAGTAAAGTCGGGAATATTAAACGCATCGTGTTCTGGGAATACATAGAGGATCCGATTGAAGGTCTCGGGTTCGACACTACGCCTACGACTCCCAGTATAAGGCGACAGTCTGCATTTATTTTATTTTGTAGTGAGTGTGCACAAATGTTGCAGGCGCTCAGATTTTCTTTGTCTACGCATGTCACGTTTCATCTAGTTGCTTGCTTTTGGCAGTAACGCGATTTTAACTTTTCCTGAATTGTTTGCATTTCTTCCAGCGCTTAGTGTATATGAATTTATATCAGTGTTCCTCCGTGCCAGAAAATGTTTGCCTTTCTCTCATTAGCTAATCCCAATATGATGTGACGGGCCGCATAATAAGGTATCGAGGGCCACGTGCGACCAGGGCCGCAGGTTGCCGACCTCTAAAGGACAAGATGTGGCCTTACCGTCGAACAGTCCAACGGCCATGTAACAGGCAGTCACATTTAAATTCAGTTGCGAGGAACCAGTTGGATTTGTTTGTCCAAATACCCATAGGCTTATACGCCGATGAAACTGATTTCTGTATGGCGTGCAGGAAACTAACCAGTCAATTTTGCAAAATTCCAACTGTTGCCCTAGTATTGGCAAAATGTTCGAAATTACATGTATGAGAAGCGGTCTTGGTCAGTGATTCCATGTCATTTATAGAGGCCGGTCACCTTGCGTTTGCAGCACAACACGTCCTGTATCAGACGTTCTCGCGGTTGTGAAAACGTCGATTGTGGTCTTGTGGGTCATGACGCCGTGCGGCCTTGTAGATGATTCGCAACGTTTCAGAGGAGAATATCGCCTCAGTATTTTACTTTGTAGGCCACAATTGACATACCTAGTCAATTAGTAATTTATTCCCCATTAATACAAGATCTCTTAAAGAGGAGACGAACTCTTTAAGAGATTCTACAAGTTCATCAGCAACCAATATCTCTTCGTTCTAGAGCTGTTCGTTATCCTTCTTTAACTCATTTATTAGCCCAAGGAATATATCGTAAAGTCTGGCGAACTCGTTGTTTTGAAGTAAGATTTATCAACTAGACTGTTTAGAACTTGAAGTATAAATTTTCATTTCAACTTTATTCGGTTTCCATGAGAACAGATTTCCTCCTTCCCGAAAATCTGGAAAAATAGGGAAGCGAATCCGAGGAGGTCTGGCAAGTAGAATGACGTCGAACGACGAAGCCATCAGTATAAGAACTTGCGTCTAAGTACTCGGGAATATAGCAAGTATATTGATCAAAGCGGTTATGACAAAAATTACCTTGCAAAGTGGTGTAGTGACAACGCTATGCATTTCCATTTAGGATGCACTTTAAAAATTCAAGAATCGCTTAATATGTAATCTGTCATGGAGTTTATTTTTTTCTTTTTTGTGCAGTTTTTATAAGTTTATTTATCTTCCTTTGTTGTTTATTCCTGTCCCTCTCTGAGCAGCTTTTCAACAACTGACATCCCTCCCTTGTCCAAGGCACTGCTGATGTTCGACCGATCTGTCTGGGTAAAGCGCGCGCTCCAGAACCTGGCCTTGATGTCCAACTCACTGCTCGACCAAGGTCAATCCGCGTTCCGGTTCTTCGTGTAGATCCGGCATCGAGCTGTGCTGGACGTACATCAAATCATGACCACCTGCGGCACTCTCAGATCACGTAACAGTTCTTGTAGTCCCGCGGAAAGTTCCAGATTGTTCATAGTTTCCAGGGACTTAATTGCTTTAGGAAGATGTAAACAATGCCTGAGGATCTTGAGTCCCATTTCTGTTATTAATATCGATAGGGTTAAATGTGAAGTAATTAGCTAACTCCATGTAACAGGGCCTTTCTTTAGAAACTGACAGTCAGCTGACGAAGAACATCGCAGAGGTTCATTACAGTGTTCACAAGAGCCTGTCGTGAACCACCCGTCTTAATTTTCGACTATTCTCCATCTACGCCAAGGACTTACAATCACCCCCTTCTCTTCAAGTTTTCCAATTAAAATGTTGTGTACACTTTTCTTCTACTTCATGCATGCTGTAGACTCGCCCATCTCCTATTATTAGATTTGGTAACCTTAGTAATATTTGGTGAAGAGAGAAGTTTTTATTATGTATTTTTCTCCATATTTTACCTTCTCTTTCTCATGAAAAAAAGTTCTTAACAGTACTGTGTTCCCAAACACCCCAATCTGTGTTTTTCCCTTGGTATGAGAGATCAAAACAACAGGCACAGTTGCAGTCTTGCATATTTTAGTCTTCATAGTTTCATGCTGGAGACGGGAAATACTGTTTATTGATTGTGCGATTCTCATAATTTAATGCGCTTTGCCTTCTTTGTCTATGTTTTTATGGTCTTATCAACATTTGTTAGTTGTTCGGACACTTGATACGCTATGTATTGACTAATAATTTTATCAGTTCGTAAATTAGGCTTTGTTGCTCTGATAAACATTTAGTGTGTTCGTTTGTTTCATCTTTTCTTTCATAGGCCTAACGACATAAAGTGCGTGCAGACCCTAAATTAAGCCTGCTCAGAATATCGTGAGCGTACAGGTGCATTACCACTGTTAATTACTCTCAAAGTAGCGCTCAACCGCTGGATTATTCAGTTTACTTCAATATTGGCTGTGCTGAAATTCGTAATAGCTCGGAATGGAACATGGAAATCAAGGCTGTTTGCTTTTACGCATGTAAATGGGAGTGTAATAACTTTCTATGCGTCGAGTTACGAAAAACGCGAAAGGAATGGACTGTCTGCTGTTTTAAGTCACTGAATATCTTGGTCGAGTGGTTAGCATTCCTACTTAGTCTTCGGGAGGTCACGGGTTAAAATCTCGACCCGAAGGGCGATGAAGCAGAAAGCACGTCTGAAACGTCAGTACACTTTTACTGACTACAAGGCGCAACGACCCAGAAGACAGCATCTGAATTACAAAATCAGTCAGTTATTCATTGAAACAAGATTTGAATATCGTGAGATCCGAAAGGGACACGTACGTGTGGGCGAAATAAGTTATTTGGCATTATAACAGTTGACAAATGTAGCCTACACTAGTAGTTAGTATATTCAACACGATGTAGCCAACTAAAAAGTGAAGGGTTTTGAAGGAACTCATTTCTGACTAAAGTACTCTATGCACTAACTCATCCAGAGACTACCTTCATCTATTTGGCTAACTAAACAAGGGCCTTTCGTTATGAAACTGACTCTTATCATCTGAACGGGGGCTTGTTGTGAAGAACGTGTTATGTCATGGACATTGGATAAAAGCAAGCAGAGAAAATGATGCCCATGTAAATTGAAACAGGCCTGCATATCAACCAGTGAAGGGATATCGCTTAAATTATTATTTTAAGATATGACAGTCGGTTAAGTTGCTTGATGACCAGAGTTCGATTTGCTGCAGAGGCGTCAATTTATTTCCCCATACTTCTGTGTTCAGATCGAGGTTCTTGTTCTGACCCAGCCTCGTATCCAATAGGTACCAACCAGACTTCTTATACAGGGATGACGTGGTCGAAGCGTAAAACTGCCCTTTCACATCCACCTAGTGCAGGGGTTTAGAATGTGTTGGCGTATGCTTCTGTGTCCCTTATATGCCTAAATGACTTAGTGATTAGACACCTTTTACCTTTTAATAACTATGTCGTAGGGCAATCTAAAATGCAACAAGACTTTCATTGAAATACGAACTGTTAATGCCGTGAAAGGGAAGGCGGACGACAGATGTTTCTCTTTGCTGCCAGCCTTTCACTCTCCCTGTTAAATTGCGTAGCGGTTAAATGAGTGACAAGTGACTAGTTGGTTACATTCTCTCAGTCATTTCTGATGGTTTTCTTGAGTTGCCACTACGCAGTTCCTAAATAGCCTCTTTCCTCCGCCATCCAGTTAATAAACTCCGTCTTGCAGTGTTCACTCCTAACACTTGATATTTGGCTGGTTTATAGAACTTTAAACTTCATAACCACGTTTACAAAATCCCCCGAAGTACACAGTCTGCCACCGCGTTTCTTAAACACCCATTTTAATGTAATGAGTTTGTCGAAAACAAGGTTTACCACGTGGAATCTTCCGTAGAGGTTCTCCGCCAAAACTGTACAGAATGTCCCATGAGCCCTAGGCCTTAGAACTATGTTATTTCTAAAAAAATAGAAAAATATAAAGAGTGAAAAGTTGTTTCTAAGCTCAAACATTAACATTCTTTACCTAGGACGAGCCATTACGGTATTACTACACTCTTTACATTCTCTATAGTAAAAAATCCTGGATGCTGTCAGCAAAAGTGGGAAGTCTTCTCATAGTAAGAGTGATGCAGCAGTGAACTAGACGCAGTTCCTGCAGGCATGAAACACGAAGTGAACGAAGCCGGGAAAACCGTAACGACTAGCGACTTATCATGTCTTCTTGTCTTTGTCGATGACTTGCTACGGATTCCTTCAGGAGCAGAGGCTTTCCCTTCGTCTCATCGTGTCCAGGGCGACTTTGGGCCCACTCAACCCCTCATCCGACAGGTTCTGAGAAGAGCACCTTACCTACACGGTAAAGTGTCCGTCTACTGCCGAGGTTATGGGCTTCCTCAGCGCTTTTGTCTCAACTATCCTCAGTGTGTTCTGTCCTTAGCCATGTATAATTTTTCCAAATCAAAACGTTGACTTTGAACTTTTTGACAGACACGAGGAAGGAACCTAACTTTGCATTTTATTTAGATTAGTCCGTGAGAACCTTCTGAGCCAAACATTTTCAATCCCGCCCCCCGCCGCCACCCCCGGTAAAAGTTGCAGTGTCTCTTTGTCTCTGTACTCTCTTCACATTTATCCTCTGTCTCTCGTCTGTCTCCCAACTATACTTTTTCGTTGGAGTTTGATCAGTTTAGTGTTGCATCCTCTCATTTGATTGATCTCAGCTGAAATAGGATCTGTGATCCTAATCACCGTTGTTTCCTTTGTGAATAGTATACTGTATTTTCATCTCCACAGAACTTATTTTGAAACTTTGGACTCGCATCGGGTTGATGAGATATCGTGTCATATTGCTGTGGTTAATAGATAGGTGTGGTCTTTGGATCAGATATCAGGACCATTATGTAATGTCCACACACTGCATTCATGTACTGATATTTATCGTTACTTAATCGAATGACCTGGATTCCCAACAGAAATCACGCCTCCGATACATGTTTTTCTGACCTTGAATGTGGTCCGGTTTGCTGAACAACTCAGTTGGGTGTCTCAAGCTGCGAGCGCATGAGGGTGGGCCGTACATGGAACAAATATTGTTACCACTCAGATTTGTTATTAGGAGAGTAAGTTTTTAGTTTTTCTTCGTGTAAACTGTCTGGACGTTTCCTTTTGACAGCCGTTTTGGATAGGGTTATCAGGTTATCAGAAGGACTCTGGCAAGAGTTCCAGCCTTGGTCTCCAGAGTTGGATGGAGTTTTCTAAATCCTTATTATGACAAGCAGTAGGACTCCTTGAACGGGGGATCAGGCCATCGCAAGGCTTGTGCCTTCGAAGGACGACAGAAAAACGCAGATCAACATCCTACACGCAGAACGTGACCCGGTGTGTTTCAAATCAGCCATTCCAGTGTTCAGGTTATCTAAATCACGTATGCCCTAACTGTGTGTTCTTTGTTGTTGTTATTGTTGGATAAGGAGGCGCTTGTTGACGAATAGGGACCAGCCGGCGCAAATCTTATCCCAGGGATGAGGAGAAGATGTTTCCTTCTCCAGTCATTGATGCCCACCCCAGATCATTACTGTTGTTGTTGGCTGAAGCGTGCAAAATGGAGAATTGTAGATTTTACAAAATGTATAATAGGATATAATTCTGTCTTCTTCTCTCAGTTTCCTTGTTTCTCGATTTCTTTCTGTCTTTTTGTTATCCCTTCTGTCTCCCCCCCCCTCTCTCCCAACCCAAAAAATAACTACGCTACTGCGTTAGCCTGCTGTCTTCAGGCACCAGGGGTTTAGATGTTGCTACCGCAGGTCATCCAATAGCTGTCACATGGCTAAGGTGTGGCGACTATACTACGACTGGGACCACACCCGTCATGCTGAGTGTTGGCGGCCTTCAACTTCGCTTATTTACATCAATCTTGCCGTACCGGATCTTGCCCGTAATATTTTGATATTGTCGCGACATTTGTAGGATCGCCGTGGTGTATAGGCAACCTAGCCGATTTGAAAGCCAGGCGGTTGAAAGGATTAGGCGAATACCACGACACAAAATAACACGGACGTGCTTTTTTGAAGCTGAACCCCATGTTTATTCAGCGAACATCAACGTTTAATCCAGTGCCGCTGACTGGTTCCTGTATCTCCTGGCAAAACGTACCGAACAGGTATTAACCATCTCTGACTGTCCCTGCTACTTTCCAGTTAAATACAGAGGGGCCCAAAAAAATATATACACACTTCAACAAAACAAAAACCCGTATAAAAACTTTAATACTAAATTTATACAGACGTCAAGGGATGACTATAAGTCATGTTGTGTATAAATTTTTTGGGCCCCTCAGTATATACTCTTTAGAGGACAAACGAGAGACAGAGATGTAACACTTCGGCTTTAGGTGTGAACCGCGTCGAATATTGAGTATTAACTCGCGTTTCGACAAACATTGCAGTTGCCGCCTTCAGGATGGCTGTGTAATGGGGCGAGTTTTGGAAAAGATAGTAGAAGATTTGGTGCAAAGTATACAATCATGGGAACAAATGAAATAAACTTTATTCCGGAGAGAGAAAGAGCATCAGTTTGTTAGAAGACTCCCACGCTTTGCCAGCTCGTCCTTCTGACAAGGGTAGAATGAAGTGAAGACGTTAGGTTGGTAGAAAGTAGTCGCTTGAGACATTTTTATTTTCTGATTAGTTTATGGAATGACTGAACAAGGCCTCAGGATCCGGAATGGCTCGGTCAGAAAAGTGCCTGACTTCGCAGTGGACGACTGAGGTTCAATCTTCGATAGGGGCAAGGATCTTTCTTCTGTCCTCTGCGCGGCTCTGGGGCCCACCCAGCCTGCTATCTAATGGGTAACGGGGATCCCTTCCCCGGAGAAGGCGAGGGCGGAGAGTGACTCTGATCACTCACCCCTGTCTAGTGCCGATTTCAAGAACTATTAAGAGCTATAATTCCCCACAAGCGCCTCAATGGCGTGAAATGGGGCAATGTACTTTTTGGGGGGACAAGAACTGTCCAAGTTTTTTAAATGAGGCTCTTTTCTTAAAAAACATACTTTTTTTTATAAATGTGCGTATCTTTATGACATCTAGGAACATTTTCATCTTTATTCTGAGGACCAAGTAAAACCCATAAATATGCTCTGTGAGTAACACTCAGGGATGTGAAAGAAACAGTCGCCAGGTACGGCTCTGAAAAAGTTACCGAAAATTCCTCTGTGTGTGCGTGTGTCGGTGTGTCCACGTGTCTGTTATGTTCGTAATCACGTATGTTTCTTTAAAGCACTCGTATAAACTGTAATTTCAAGTTCGCTGTGAGAGTGCTTGTACTTCAAACGCAGTCTGAAAATTATCAACACGAGATGTGAGACAAACAATAATATCGCTACAGTTCATGTTTCTTGAACTTCATTCTGAATTCCAATGGCCACGCAACACCTCACCCCCGCCCCATCACTCACTTGTGTATGTATGTATGCATGTGTGTACGTACAACAAGTGCGCGCGTGCGCAAATACCTCTTGTTATAATAGTCACTACGAGGTTCGAAATGCTGCCAGTAGATGGCAGAAATTCATAACCCCTATTTTAATTATCCTCGCTAGGACGTCTAGATCTCGATTGTTCTACCAGTAGATGGGGATGCAGATGCAGTGTATCAAAGCAAATTCATTCATCTGACAAAGTACAGGTTGATCGAAAAGTCATGCAATCCATTGCTGACACATTTTGTTTGCAGCAGTTAGTAAAATTTTAATATGGGTTGCGTGACTTCTTGATAATCTGTATGTTGTTGTAAGTTCAAGCCACTTGCTGGTTAGGCTACCACATTGTAAACGTCGTTTTAGGGGAGGGGGGCGTTTCTTGTTCTTCAAACTCTGTGAACTTTAATTCACAACAGTTTTCTTAGATCTGCCCATGACTTTTTGAGGACGCCTTAAATATTTTCTTCCCTTTTTAAACTATATTTCCCTGGACTTGGATAGTGCTACATACTCCAGTTGATGTAAGCCTCTGGTACTACTTCGGCTCTCCCTAGTCGTTTTAAGCTTCCTTCTGACACTCCTAGACAATTTGGTCTTTGCCAGATGAAGCCTGCCTACTTTGGAGGCTACATGTAGGTCACCTTTGTTCACAGGTTCACCAGAATTGCTGGCTCCCAGGAAGGTGACCTGCCTCAGTCGTCTTTTTAGCATTCCCAAGTTGGCTGATACTCTCAGCTCCCCAAGATAGCATGCCAGAACTGTTGGGTCGCTGCTTAAAGGAAGCAACTTTCAGATGAGGCTCTGTGTTAGGGAGTGCCTGTCATATCATATGGTTCCTCCTGTCTGTCTACACATATTTGCCACATATGTGGTAACTAACTTTGGCAATCTTTGTAGGCACTCTCATATCATTTTATATTGGCAAATTACTGTTCTTGATTGATTGATACTGGGGTCATGTCTGTGAACAGCTAGAGGTCAGACAGTATTAAGTCAGGGGAGTGAAATGGTTAGATAGCACTTCAATTGCGTTGTCTACGAGAGAAGAAAATTTATAACACAGAAAAACAGTCTTCAGACCACAGCCCCTTCACACTGTGATTTACAGTCAAGGTTTATTGAGACCTACTCTGGGAACCTGAAAGTGTAGTCACCGTGTGTGATAATATTTCCAAGTCTAGAAGGAGAAATTTTGTAACAGCAATAGAACTCATTTTTGGGGTGCACATTGTTCATCACTCAATAAATAATAGAAAATATAATGTTCACTTTGTATAAATCCAGAGGGGAAGCTTCTGCAGATGGGATTTAAACCTCAATTCTTAATCTGAACAGGCACACTTCTAAGATGGCTGTTTTCTGCGTTGTAGCATCATGTAGTCTGGTAGAAGTTTACCGACGTTTCAGAGGTCTTTGCTGCCCCCATCATTGGGGCCCTGGTGGTAGAAGTAACAAGGCCCTCTGAAGCATTGGTAATCTTCTAGCAAATTACATGGTGCTATACTCTAGAAGGCAGCTGTCTTTGTACTCACTGCCATGAGAATCTCAAAAGTCCTACTCAGATGCATTTCTTTTAGTTTGTAGAAGTAATGAACTGACCTGAATATTCTGACATCATATGTGCCTTATGTAGTATGGTTTTTCAATCACAATTAAAAATACATGTCAAATTTAAAATATGGCAAAATTAACGCTGGAATTCATATGCATTCAAGTAAAGTTTAAAAATGTATATTTACATCCACACAACATGCAGCTCATTTTATGGTATATTTATGTTCACATGACATGCCGCTCATTTTAATTTAACTAACTCCACAGAGCAGAATCCTCCTTGAAGAGGTAATGACTCAGGTGATTAACAAAATTCGTTAACACTTACAGAATCCAAAGGTTCATTACGTAAGCTCTGAGCTGGATGTTCCCTCATTTCAGGTTATCCAATTAAAATTTTGTATACATTTATAATATTACCAATTAGTGCTACATGTTTCATCAATTACACATTGCTTGATTGGGAACTCTAATATCTGATAAAGAGTACAAATTTTAAAACTCCACAATTCAAATCTTTTTGTCCTCCTATCTGCTATCTGAAAATATAAACATTAAAATATACAAAACTATAATTCTATCTGCCATTTTGTATGGTTATGAAACCTGTTCTTTCAACATTAAGTTAACAACATAGAATAAGGGTGCTAATGAGAATATTTGGAAATAAGAGGCAGTGACAAGAATATATTGGAGAATTTCGTAATTTGTGGTCATCATCAGGTGTTTGTAGGGTGATCAAATCAAGGATGATGAGACAGTCAGGGTATGTAGCACACATGCACAGAAATGAATACAAAATTTTGGTTGAAAAGCCTGAAATAACAGTACGACTCAGAAGACCTGGGGATAGGTGGGAGGATAATATTTAAATAAACCTTAAGGAAATAGGGTTTGGGTGCATTTGGTTCTGGATAGGGACTAGTGGCAGGCTATTGTGAAAACTATAAAGAACCTTTAGGTTACATAAAGTGTGGGTAATTTCTTGACTAGCTGAGCATACTATTATCTTCATAACAAAGACGCTATTAATTACAGTCACATAATTATATTTTATTCTGTTTTTATTGCCAGCAGATGAATTGTAAAATAAAATTCTGGAATGATATTCTGGATTTTTATAAACTCAGTTTTAATCATATACACAACTCAAATAAAATACATCATTACACATTTGCACACAGTCACACATAGGACTATTAGAATTCTGACTGAATGAGAGTGGAGAGTCAAAACCTAGTATTTTGGTCAGAAAGCTGGAAGAGGATCCACTGTCCACTGAAAAACTGGAGCTGAATTGGAGGGTTTCAATCAACTGAATTTTCTTGCAAAACAAATCTGATACACATCAAACACCCATACAATTTATAACATGCAAGCGCTTACAGATTTATAAAACACAAAAGTTGAATTATGCTGGGTGTAAAATTTCCTAATTTGATATGCACAGTCGTCTCTAGTTTATCCAATCTTCTTTACAGAACACCATCTGTATGGACGCTGATAAGTTTTGATTATGCAGGAAACTTAGGTGTGTCCTCTTCAGCCTAATGTATCCTAGCAAATCTGTCACTTCTGCTAGCAACAACAGAACTCAGTGTTTGTTTACCTTACTACATCTTACATTTCTTTCTTTTCTGTGCAGAATAAATAACACGAGAAAATATTCAAATTGTACAGTGGCTAAATGTCTTGACTTTGGACAACTTAGACTTATTTATCGCATTTAGCCTATTTAATTATCGAACATCGCGCTGGAATCCGTATGTACTTTTAAAAAGCTTATTTATTTGCATGAATTGAAATGTTGAATGTAGTTAGTGTTAAAAGAATTCTGGCTAGATGCTGGCTTCTCACTGTGGAGACCAGGGTTAGTCCCAGGTCACTTTAAGTGAGATTCATGTTTGATGAAGTGGCACTGAAACAGCTTCCCTCTGAGTTCTTTAGTTTTATCCTTTAATTGTCATTCAACCACTGCTTCATACTAAAATATCAAAGCCACATGAGCAGTGAGGTAGCCCTGATCATGCGGCGCATCGTCATACCCTTGGTCCTAAATTATGGGATTCATCTACGACTCAGCACTTGGCTAACCTCAAAGTAAAGTCAATAGAGATTTTTTTTTAAATATGCTTATTGTGCTGCTGTTTATTATTGTTTCTTTGTGTCATGAAAAATAACTGAAGTCTGCATACGTCAATTCACAGTTTCATTGGTAGCCATGTTGACAGATATTGTTGATGACAGGAAGTTAATTTAATTGTTGGTTTGAATAATGAATCTGAAAGGATATATAAGAAAATGGACATTGCAGAGGGGCTCAGGAGAACTATGAAAACATCAGTCAGAAGAGCTTGCCTCTGGTGAAAGTTTTGAACCTAGGACATTCCCAATAAAAAGCAGTAGCACTGACGCACAGTTATGACACTGAGATGTGGAGATCACTGATGGCATTGTATTCAAACTGAATTTTACAGAAGTCTGGCAATTAGAGTATTATAACATTGATGTTTAGGCCTACAGCCAAATTAGGGGCCAGATGAATGGACAGACACACAGAACTCAGTAACAGGGTTTCAAAACTTGATCTCTCTTCTTTAGGAACCCTGGAAAGGTAACACATCTTTATAATTGTGAAGTCGCAAATCAAATGTTTCCTAGAGTCACAAATCGTGGGTCTTCACACTTTGTCATTTCTTAGAGGAATCTTCTCTTTCTCTGCCTCATCCTTGTCTGTAGACTTCGGTCCAGAGTTCCAAGACTGCAGCTCCCCCGTGCCAAACACACTGTACACGATGGCACCACCAGCGTACGTCGCGGCTATGATACCAAACACTTTGCGCCACTGAGTATACGTTTGCTGTGTAACAACAAAATCATTTAATGTTTTATCAGAAAGTGTTTCTTGTGCACAAACACGCAACTTTATAACACACTGAAGACTTTAGGAAATATTTCTCAACATACTTAAACAACGATATGAATGCGGCTGTTTACCTAAAGCAAACATTTTATCCTTTAAATGCTAAAAATAAGAAACAGCATTTGCAAGCAATATTTTTCTCAGTTTTAAACATTATTATTTGTATACGGTATGCGGAGTTAATCAATTATTGAAAGTTTTAAGAATTTTAAAGTGAATATTTGTTGCTTCACAGAATTAACTAATTCAGGATACTTCATAATTAGAAACTTCTTTTCATGGTATTGCTAAGGTAATTATTTCTAAGAGGTTATAATGGTCTGGACATGCTGGTTGCATGGGGAGACAAGGAATGGATACAGACATT